AAAAAGACGTAAAAACATAAATGGTAATTGGTTTGCGAAGCGTTATGATCTGATATCGGCGTTGAACCGTTGGTTTATTCGGTAAGTAAAAGTATACGTTAAGATTTATGCGACTAGTAACGTTCATCAGCCTGTCGGACACGGAGCTATAATAATATCTATAGTAATAATATGGTATACAGGTAAGGTGTGTAAATTGAAAAACGAAATCGAAAATGTCTTCGGATTAACTGAGGGCGGAGATACGGTCACCTATTATACAAAACGTACATTTTAATGAGATTTTGGTATTGTTGTCAAGATACGGAGAAAATTCCATGCCGCCTGTTTGGACTTTAGGAAATTACATAGTCGTCCCGTCAATTATTGCGCCGAGAAACAATATTGCGAAATTAGATTTTTGCCGCACCCCATCCCTCGCCGCCGGTGCCAGTGTTACTGACAAGATATTAATCTATTCAGTCGGCATTTGAGAGAATTGTAAATTCTGATTACACGGATAACGCGAATATATTTGGACGGGGCAAACATTTCGCATAATCCGTTTAAAGAAATGTCAATTATATTTTTGTCGTACTGCAACAAGATGAAATTATACATGCGCACACGTGCACACACACACTCTTATTTATCCGTAGAAATAATATAAATGTATTATGTACCCTGTACAAGTAAAACGTTTAAATCACGAGTCCCTATTCGGTTATGACATTGATCGGACCAACCGTTTTGAAAAAAAAAAAAAAAAAAACGTTTTTGGTTCTGTTAATTTTTTTTAAAACATTACCATCGATACAACACCATCATATCGTGATCGCGTAAGTGTAATTAATGCGTCGTTTAAACACTGTACCGTGCATGATATCGCCCATATACTTCGAAGACTCGGATTTTATTCGTTCGAAAGTTTTGTTTGATTTTGCGACTGCGTATGTTTAATACAATATACGGCGGAGCGCGTAGTGTATAAATAAATAATATGTTACGTCGTACGTTCTACGGCGAGGGCACTGTTTAATACGATGTGGTCGATCGAAAGGGTGAGTTGGTGCCATTGTACGCTCACGCATGCATAACATCGTTGTGATAATGGATATCGCGACGTCGGCAAGGACACGCGAAGGAGTGGCGTACGCGATTATTAATCAAACGAATGCCGGTCTCGATGCGTATAATTATCAACGTAGCGCTCGAATTTCCGATTGATTAAAATGCCACTGATCCTCCGCCGCTATGACGGTTTGAGAGTTCTAAAACTTTTTCCGTGCACGTACGCTTAGCAGCTGTGCGGTTTATCTAAAAAGACTGAAGGTCACATGCGTCCCGATTTTAAATAAATAAATTAAAAAAATGAAATAAAACGGATTCGGCGAATCACGGATTTATTTTGTTTTGGTTGCGATTTTTTATTTTTTTACATTTAAAAAGCAATAATAAGCCCTCGCATTTGATAAACAATTCTGATCAAAGGTCGGTGTGGTAAGTATACCTATATCTTTTGCCTTAGATTAATATCTTGCGTTTCTCTGTTTCCGTTTGTAATTGGTGTTTTTCTGAGAAAACTAAAAAATGACCTTTTTTAATCACAAATGAATATTTTTTGTTTAAAATGTTCCAGTAACGTATGTATAAAATATAAGGTTGAATGATATTGATCCAACTGATATTCATAATATTTTCAGCTTTTTATTTTGGCTATTATATTCCTTTGTGGGTACGCGATTGCGTTGATAACGGTTTCAAGGTGGATGTTTTGATCACGTACGAAACTCGTCGGAAAATTTAATTTACGTGATATTATCGCACCGAGATTGGTGTACGAATATAATAATTTCACCAACTTCATGGTACGTGCTCATGTGGCCTGTTATTAATATTTTTTTTGCGAAAGGTATAGTCGGCTTTTTTCTCCTAGTTCCCATCATTCGATGATATATTTAAAGTATGCGCGAACCTTAAAAAGGCTTATTAATGCTAAAAATAATTCATGAATTTAACGTAAATTAAGGTTGACAATTTTCCGATTTTCTTTTAAAAGTTACGTTAGTATACGTTTTGTAAATTTATACTATCGTACACACAATAAAAATTGAGTTCCGTGAAGGTAATTAATGAGTTTAGTAATTATAACACTGCAGATATGCATATAATCGACAAAACAGAGTATCAGTTTCATTTCCTATTCGCGAACCATAGTAAATTACAGTGAATAATGCATACTAGTAATTGCACTAGAGACTCGTGCGAACATTAAAGCATTTTTCATGTTATATAATTTGAAATTTGTTTTAGAACTTTGATTGATTTTCCGTGTCTGTTACCGTCTGTGAAATAAACAATATGCAAAACATTCAAATACAATTATGTCTTATGCGTATGTACGTAGCAAATGGTCAATGGTATGTGAACTGGTGGAATGGATCACTATACGATTTCACCCGACAAGCTTTAAATTCTCAAAAACTAATTTAAAACAGAAAACCTCGCATAAAACTGTACGAGATTGGTTTTAGACAGCTAAGTTCTATCAATATGATGCCAAAACCAATTGATGTATATTATATTCGAAAGGCTGATTTTTAGTTAATGCATGTAAGTTTAAATAAATATGTCTAATTAACTGTCTAATTAACAATATAATAATTCAGAATAGCGTATGAAAAAAGAGACGATAGCTGTTCGCCTCAAAATATAACGTGGCTGATTTAAAAATGTAAAAAAAAAAAAGTAATGATATAAAACATGATTTATTCGTGTTTAAAGTTAAAATATTCAACAAAATATATTTTATTCAAAATATGCAAAAATATGTAAATTACAAATTAGGCACACCATTTATTTTTAATAATATGCGATTCGTTGATGCCTTTAGCAAAATTTGTGTTTGAACGATAAGGAAAAAATTACCGATGTCTACAAATGTTAGACCATTTCTACGACAAAATACATAATATAATTTAGTGCACTTAAAATTGAAAATTAATTATTTATTAACTCAATGTGTATTGGTTTAGTATAATAATCGATACGCTCTTCTTCTTCTTTCTTGGCTTTACAACTCTTTAAGAGTTTTGGCCGCCACTGTTATCGTTCTCCAATAGTCACGATCCTGTACTCTATCTTCCCAATTTGTCACTTCCAGTGTTTCTAAGTCCTTCCTTATTCCATCCATCCATCGCTTTCTAGGCCTTCCTCTTGATCTTTTACCCGTCGGTTGCCATTCAATTGCTGCTCTCGTATTATTGGTTTCTGTTTTTCGCATGTAATGACCAAACCATTTGAGTCTTTGACACATAATGTGGCTTGTTAATAGTGGTTCTTCAGTGATTCTCTTAGTTCAGTATTTTTTTTCTACGCCATTTGTTTAGCTCACTATCAAACATTGGACCACAAATCTTCTTCAGTATTTTATATTCAAAAAACTAATAAATTTTTTCTAATTGTATAGAAGTGGGCCACATTTTACATCCATAAGTTACCATTGGAAGTTACTATTGGTCTTATTATTGTCATATCGATATGTTCAGCTAATAAAATATCGATATAAGAATAATATAACACTATATAAATCACAAAATTTAGTATAAAATACTTATATGAGCTTCAAATGATTTTGTTGGTTTTATATAGTAAGCATAGTACATAATTTATACTTTGTAATTGAATTTAAAATCAAATAAGCGATTGATTGATACAATAATAAAAATAATTACATTTTTCATATACTAAGATGAAAAATAAAACTGTTTTCGCTACTATTTCAAGTTTTAATTCCAAATTACAAATGTTTGAGTTAATTTTTAAATATTACATCTAAACATATAATTTCATTGATACATTTTAATTAGTAGCTTTTGATTAAATTGATAATGGAGTAGTAACTTTGTTTACTATTTTTTTAATTTTTTTTAAAATAAGAAGCTTCAACAAGAACTATTATAACTCAACAATTACAGTATTATATATGACGGTTAACCATTAATTACGACAAATGCACAAAATTAGACATAGTACACTAGATAATATAATACATAATTCAACAAACTGAAAATAACAACAACTTTAAATAACAATAAAGAGTAATGATATAATAACAAGATAATAATGTTATCACAATGAGAGCCAGAAGTTAATATTAATAGGGTGTATAGTTGGTCGAGAGTAATTTATTTAGAGCAAACATAAAATATTAAAGATATTTATTTTAATCTTTTATTTTTGTAGGATGATGGAAATAGAAAAGAAATCAATAATCATTGGACTTATTAATAATTTGATTTTATGGAGATAGTATAGAAACAGAAGATAAAAGAAGATTTTAAAACTGTTGAGTAATAATGGGTTGATTATTGCATAAAAAGTCTCCAGAAATTTGAAAATTGAGTTTTCGAACGTAATTGAATGTGTTGTGTTGGCAATGTGGTGAGCAGTGATATTGCATATGATTGTTGTTGTTTCTGGTTTGAGCTGGGAGTAACATAACTCGTAGGTGGTATGGTGAAATCGGGAGCGGAATTATGATGAATTTTGTGTATTTGATATTTTTTGTGGTTCACCATAAGTTTTTTAACTACCAGACATCCTTTATATAAAGCTCTGTGCAGTCCTGAGCGTATGGCACTTTTGGTGGGTTCTAGCGGTTACAAGGTGCATTTCGAAGTGTAATGTGTATCTTTTACATTTGACTAATCGAGGAGACTGATGGCAAAAATTACTTATGAAAAAGTAAGCTTGACAATCATGACACAGTGGAGGGGTATGTTTTATCTTTCACAACTCTATTTTAATTTTAATGTGAAGAAGCAAATCAAATATGAAAATATCATTATTGTATTCTGCAACTTTAAAATCGATACCAAATGGGCATTTTGTGATATGATGTATAATATTGATAAGTCGAATAATTTTGTGACCCATATCTATTACATTTACTTGTATATCATCAATAATAGTGAACGGGTGGAGAGACCTGATAAATATGGTGTAAGGTTTCAACCGTTTAGGCAAATATGTGTGGAATTCGATCTGCTCATTATCGGTTAGTTAACTATAATTATCTGAGCAAACGAGAAACAAAAGTAAACGTTTTCGACCAACAACTATAAATTTTCCCTATCATAAAAAAAAGTAATAATAATAAAAATCAAGAGTCAAACGTCTGAGTTATTTTTTACATTATCTATATACTACGTGATGTATATTTTAAATGCAGAAAACATTCATCTTATTTGTTTGTAAGGATTAAAAAATACTTTGAAACTCGTATTAATGACCAAATTTCTAAAAACACTTGATGAAAATAAATTGTGAATCATTAAAAATAAACTTGAAATTATAAACTTTACTTTGAAGTTTTTAATCAATCTTTATGTATGATTAACGTTTTAACTTTGAACAAAAATTGCGTATATTTTTAAACCGATAAAAAAATAAAACTGCGGCTGTATATTTTTAATTCGATCTTTTATAAATAATTTGAAAATGTCTTCAATGTGTTGAATTTTCTAAAAACGTATGTAATTGATGTGTAATGCACATTAATGTTATTAATACATTACATAATTACATGTTAATATGTGTTATTAATGAAATGTAAATATTTTTATGATAGGGATAACATGAATTAATAAATATCTGATAACACGATTTGTAGAAGAATCGATTATAATATAAAAAAAAAAAAAAACCCTTTAAATTTAAACGAATCATATTTTGAAAAGTTGAGAATTCCAGAAAATATGTGGTCGAATATCCAATCAAAACGTTATACATTAATTGTACCGTGAGTAAATTTGTTTTAAGAGGACGCGATAACCGAATGACGTCCGAATCGTGTGCCGCGATTAACGTTCCATAGGTCGACGACGATTCGGGCTTACGGTACAGGCACATATACACGAGTGCCAAAAACGTGGATCGTGATTTCGTCCGCGGAACTACAAATAAAATAATCATTCGTTTACGATTTTTTGATGGAAGACCGTAGTGCACGTGACAAATCCGTTCGGTATAGGTTCCATAACGGGGTTTCCTTTATTTGTTTGTTTTTTAAACCGTTCAATTAATCGATCACCGAAACGCGACCGAATCGCAACCGAGGAAACCGCGGTGCACGGCGAGGGGAGGAAGCGTTAAAAATCACTAGGTAACGACGACGGATTTTACCACGGACCGTGATAAAAATTATTTTTTTGCGCGCAATTTGTTTTCGACTCGTGTAAACATTACGCGAGCCCGCATGGTCAGGAGCAAATATTAAAAAAATCCACTCGTGTGCACGCGCTACACACGTCCTCGAAAACGGAAACGTACGAGTGATGTGACGCGCGTTCGACGTCACAGCTCGACACTCGGAGTGAAATAAAATGAACGATTAACACGTAAACAACATTTGCATTTATTTTTTTACTCATTCGCGACGACACGGTTTCGCGTAGCTGCGCGCGAAGGTACGGCTTCCCGGCCTCCTCTACGAGTAAAACGAATTCGTTTCGATCGAAAAACGTGGAAAACTAACCATGCTCACTACGACCGACGATGAGTTGATGGTCGAACAAGTCCTACATACATATACGCACGAATTAAACAATATTTCTTCTTCTCGCTGCTCCGCCGATAAACGTACGATTGTTTTATTACTATTTAGTGATCTGTAACGACCGGATGAAAAACTTTATTGAAAAATGCGCGCGTGCAAGACGTCGAGCCGAAAGTAAACCGAAAGCAGGTTGTCGCGTAAAACCGTCGCGGCCAGTCGCAGCTCGGAAACCGCTCCTCGACGCGTGGCGGCGTTCCTCCGTGCTCCGGTGCGCGGGGGGCGTTTGCTCGTACGAATCCAATTTAGGGATCGCATCGACCTTCGAACCCGCCACGCGTTACCGGTCGCGTCTGCCAACTGCCGACGTTGGACGCGGTCCAGAGAACTGTAATAGCCATCGGAGACGGGGAACGGACAGCACGCGCGCGCGAAATCGTTTTCCGATCGCGTCGACCCGCGTCCCCGTATCCCCGGCAACGATGTCCGCGCTGTCCCGCCGGGCCATTCAGGGGCTCGTCGTACCCGCTGCGTCACCCCGCCCCACCTATCCTTGGGTCGATGGGCGCACATAAATCCTGCCCAAAAACTTACTGCTAATAAACAAATATATGAATGCGTCTTGTCCATCATATTTTTACTGACGTAACATATCATTATAATTTATAAGTAGGTATTTAAAGAAATATATATTTCATATATTAAGTCAATAATTAGCACATATTATAAGTCATTTATATTGTATATCATATAAAATTGTTAAAAATCGTAAAAATAATAATAATTATAATAATAAAGACGAGTCAAAATTTGATTGAAATTAATTTTTTTTTTTTGTCGAAATCCCCAAAATAATGAGCCACGTTTTCCACACAAATAGGTATTTCGATTGTCGTCTGACATACGATTGTTCCGTGTTCGTTCGAACATTTTGTGACTTCTAAATACTATAACACGCCGTGCGCGAACTGTATGGGGTCGCGTCGTAAAGTGACGGAGCGCTCAGTTTAAAAATATTTATTTTTCCGGGCGGAGTTCACAAATCCATTAATGTACCTGCATATTTTTTCGGGCCGAATTTGCATGTACCTTTTTTATTTTTGCCCGGCGGAATTTACCAAAGACCTAGTTTTTACCTATTAATTTTGGACGGAATTTAAAATACCCCCGGACGATCGGGTGGCATTCGCGAACGGGTTTTTCCGCCGTATCGTCTTGGAATCGAACTCGAAGGGAGGAGGATAACAGTGTTCGCGCGACGCACTGCCACGGTTTTCGTTCTGTTACGCTAATGGTCGAATTAAATGAGTTGGTCGCGCGCATAACGGCTTGAAACGAAAAATAACAAAAAAAAAAAAATTTAAATAAACAAATAATTATAATAGCATACGAACGATTTTGATTTCTCACGGTCGGAGGACGAGTAGTCGACGATTATCGACAGTAATCCTTCCGTTTTCGTTCGCGGTCGTTCGGCGAAACGTTTCCAAACGGTGTGATCGGTTTTCGCTTATTTTTAACATGGTTGTTCACTTCCGATGAACACGAAGACGAAGACCGCGACCCGTTTCGCGCACGACGGTTTCGTATCTGTACAAACTTTTTCCGAACGAACGTTGTTTCCGCGCACCTCAGGCTATCCCGTCGAGTCGTCTGCGCTCGGTGGTATTTCGAAACGCTTTCAAAACGTACCGTTGCAATGCGGCATTACGTTTTACGACACGTTGTAAACGACGCAACGATCGTGTACACCGGTCGCA